TCTCTCTCTCTCTCTCTCTCTCTCTCTCTCTCTCTCTCTCTCTCTCTCTCTCTCTCTCTCTCTCTCTCTCTCTCTCTCTCTCTACCCCCCCCCCTTCTTTCCCTCGTTTTTCTCGCTACTCAAAGTTTGTTTTTCTTTCTCCCGAGCGTAATCTCGAAGAACGGATTCTCACGAGAGCCGGTTCTACTGGCTTCCGAAATAGATTCGCAACCTAGTTAATTACTCTAGCTGGCGCGAGGATTTGGCACTTTCGTTGACCGTCGCTATCCGTTCGTCACCTCGGAGATTAGAGTCTGTCGTTGAATTGTCATTATCACTTCTATAACGGCAGCGGAGATCGTACGGATCGATCGATTTTGACGTAAATCGCCACGCGGGTGTGCGCGATATGTAAAAATGAATATCAACGTCCGAATGGAAGCTGCGTTTCCGTCGCCGACTCGCCTTCCGTCGAGCTCGCGAATAAATGGAAGGACATTAGCGGTGCTCACATTACCGGTTACCGCGCTCTCGTCGGGAGAGACCGAAATTTATTGCATTAAATTGGGTAAAAAATACGCCATAAATCCGGCTCGATTTACGGCCACATCGGCGACGTCGACGGTGCGTACCCTCCGCAATGTTGCACAGGGTGTTTCAGCTTCACCGCCTGTCTCTCCTCTCTCTCTCTCTCTCTCTCGCTCTCTCTCCCCTTCTCTCTCCCCCCTCTCTTCCTCTCTATTTTTCCTCGAAAACCAAAGAACATCCTCGAGAATAATAAGGCATTGATAGTTTCTCACCCAGTGAGAAATGATTTGTCGATTCGACATCGATCGACGAGTCATTTCTCGTGCTGGGCAGCTATAAAGTCGAAAACCTATACGAGAGCGCGTATACGTGCGGCTAAATATTCATATAATACCCGGTGCGCGTCCCGCGGAGAAACTAGGATTTAACGCAACAAACGTTTATTTACGTGGCGAGCCGAGCCGACACGACGATTTGTTAATGCTCGTACGTTTGTCGAGAGGCTTAATTAAAAATCGAGTTCGCCGGAATACCGCGGGGAGGTGGAATAAATTTCAGACGCACGGGCCATTAATTAGAACGCTATCGCGCTACCAGCACGACACTACGTTTTCGTGTTTGCGCTTACGGTCAGAAGGAGCCCGTTGAAGGAAAACATATCCATTACGTATCATATGCAGTAAGCGTTGATATTTCACATAAGCACGGCAATATTTTAGAACCTTAGCAATGACCGGGAACCAGAATAATTTGTTTCATCTTATAATAAGTATTTATCACAAAGAGAAACTCTAGCCAATTTTATTCGTAACTGCGACATTTGTAAGACATTTTTATTTTTTAATTTTTTAATTTTCAGTTATGCTTGATTTAAGTATCAGACTACGGATTGAGATTGAGATTAGATTGAACCAACTGACCAACCGGAGTAAAGTTTCCTAATCTCAAGTTTAGTAAATTTTACACTATGTAATTGGTCAAATGTCAATCTCAATCTGTAGTCTGATATGGGCTTAACAGAATAGAAAGAAAAAGTACATATAATTAGTATTGAATTCATTCTAATTTGTATCACGTTCGAAAAAAGTGCCACCGGCATTCTTCACCCATGGGGAGCTGCTCGACTCCTACGGCTGGGAGAAGTGCATATAATACGCAATGTGCGTTTCGTGGCGCGATCGAGATCAAGCAGTGGAAAAAGGCCGTTTCTCCCGAGGTTCCGTAACGGAGCGCGTTCGGGCACGTTTTACAGCGGCATCCTCCCGGTATTCTCCGCACGCGGTATCTCACCGGTGCGATCTGGCGCACATTGTGCGTGCCTAGAAAAGTTCTCTTAAGCGTGCGCGGCATTGTTTCGCTCGCCCGGCGACTTTATACACGCGTAAAGCTATGATTTACGCAACGGCGCGCTTAGGCGTGCCTTTGAAACGCCGAGTTTTTAAGGGCCGCCGCACCGGGAGAAACCAGGACTTTCTTTCTATTCTCTTCGAATCGCTAAGCGGGCCGTGTGAAATTTCTTCTACGGCATTTGTCCATCTCGGTATCTGAAACTTACATTCGTGAGGGGGGCAACGAGGATTTTACGTTAAAAATTTAAGTTGCTTCATTAAACGTGTGTTGCGCAAAGAGAGACAGTTGCTCGGAGAGTAAAATTAAGTAATGACCTTTTACCGAGAGTTGCATAATCTGCAACGACGGAGATGTTCAATTACTCCAAGATCTTCGTTGAACCAGTAATTTCCTGCAGTTTGGAAATCCGCAAGGTCGCATCGATACTTATAGCAATGAGATTGCCGAAGAACGTCTCTGCGTAATTTTCAGAATTGTAGAAAAATATATATCGCTTGTCCGCTCACGTTCAATTATAGCGCTTAATTACGGTCATTTTTTCTTGCCCTCGTGCGCGGAAAACGCCTTCCTGTATTGCACCCGCGACGGACCGTTCGATGTGCCACAAATCCCTCTCACGTGCATTGCAATCTAATAAAAGTGTAACGCACGACAAACTTATAATTCCGCGTTGTGTGTTGGCGATCTTTCAAAATCCACCCGTATCAGCCTTTTTCGTACTCTTTCGTAATGCAGCATTGCGCAGGATAATCAAAGGGAACGAATTTACGAAAGAAAAAAGTATGTCTCTCGTGCGGTTAAAACTCAACTTGTGTTTCTATCCTATTGGCTTTCTAACGTATCGCAATACTCGAGAAATATCACTCGCGTTTACATAAAATATTTCCGATACATCCCTTCATTCTATTATATAAATTTAAAACAGTATTACGGAAGAACACTGTTCATATTCTCGTTCACATAGAAAAGGGAATTACGATAAAATGAATTGTTTACAATCATTCGATGAACAAGAATACAAATTATTCCGAATATACGTGAAAATTTCTTACAATTTATCTTCTAGGCTGAAATTATTGCCGTACGTAAAATCTTATTAAAGTGAAGATGGAGAATAGATTGAGTTGACGCTTCCTCCATTAATTTGCCAATTCAATCGGAATGCACTTGAGCAATACGCTGCACAAAGCCTAACGGATATTACCTGCTACGATATCATGCAAAATAGGTATTGCGAGTGTTACCAATGGCCAGTGAACGTTGAGAAACGCCGTTTGAATAATATCCTTAACAATAATTGCTTCGGTCACGAAGAAGAAAGCGCTGTCCCCAATGAATTGTTGCATTCATTGAACCGATTAATCCCTTTGCTCGAACGTCGCAATTGTGCCTCTTCGCAAGATGGTCGATTCATTAAATAACAACAGCGACGAAAGAACTGAATAGGCGACAGTTTAATAAAATAATTTTAATCATTTAAGCATATTCTCTGTAAACAATGTACGATTCGATATGATACAATAAATTAATTTCGTAACTCAAAATAAACTTGAAGAGAACACAACTTGGTAAAAGTGTGATATGTAATGTGTTTTAAAGATGTAAATATGTTTTCAATGAAACTAACACTTAAATAATAATCAATTTATACGCGATCAGTCCAGTGTGTAAGCTATATTACATTATAATATATGGCAATGGCAAGCGAAACACCCAGTAGGTACGTAAGTTCGCATGAAGGGGTGTGGTGGTTGCGCCGGGTCCAGATTCAAAGAGTCCTCGCTTTCGTCGCTTAATTCCCCGATGCTGAACGTGTCTGTGAGATCTTGTTTGTGCTTTGAGGAATCCTTCGACTTCGCCGGAAAGATAGTCATCTCGTCCTCACTACACACAATCATACAGTAAATGGAAAATATCAATTAAACTTGATTACGCACAGACATTTTTCTTATAGATGTAATATAATAATATATATTTAATCAATAGAGACAATATACATGATAGATCCAAAGTAAAACTTAAAATGTGATGCAATGCCAATATCATCTGGCAATTCTTTACGCATGGTATTGTTTAATACCTTTCACTTTCGCTGTGCCAGTATTCGACTAGAGGAAGATGCTCCTTGTTTTTATGTGGTATAGGCAATCGTTGAATTGATATCAGCCCGGTGGAACTGGTGCTGCTCGCATTTTCATTGTCATACTTTGGAAGCTTTATGTAATCCGAGTTGCGCTGGATTCGCTTTGCCTGTTCGATGCGTGTCTCTGCGGAACAATTTTACCGCATATAAATATAATTGCCACATATAAGTCACACGAATCATTGCAGCAGCGACGTTGGCATAAAACGATACGAGTAGCGAAAAGATTTCAGTACCGAGTTTCTTTTGCAACTGTTTCGTTGTGTTCCGTTGAGAAACCTGCGTGTGGTTGCTGCTACAGCTGCTGTCGCTGCCCTGCAAAAAAGGGTTAAGATAGTTTTATGAGCACTGAACAATTTTACCTTGTATATAGATTACTATTTATATTTCACAATTATATATTAAAGTCCCACAATCATACGTGGCTCTATTAGTTAGGTCTAATGACAAACGTCTCGTCCCAGATAGCCAAGTATGGTACAGCGTATTGAGCAAATTAATGCATTGCATGCGCTGTTATGTATTTGCGGTACATTTGCTGACATCAAAATAAATACATGCTAAATGCAGCAACATGACTACTTATACATGCAATCAGCAATATCTAATATGTTATGATGTCAGCAACGTGACAGCAATGAATGATTGGTTGTTGCATCTTAAGCATTGTGATGCTGACACGGTGCAAATTTGTCGTTATTGGAATTAGAATATGAGCTCAAGTAGACAGACATAATGCTGACTCGCCTCGTTCCCAGTTTGTTACAATTAGTTGCTTCAAGGATTTTGGTAACGTGTCAGCACATGTATAGCATTCGGCTATCTAGGAGTCTATCAGTAAGGTTATCGAGGTGGGCACTCACCAAGAAAAGTCTCTCATCCTCGACGTGACTAACAGCTTTAGGATCACTGTCAATACCGCTATCTTCCATGATTCAACACATTTAGAAATATAGGAGCTCGTCCTCTCTCAATTAATCTGAAACACAAACAAACGTTCGCATTAATTCTTTTGTGCTTCACAGCTCGCCAAATGTGAAAGGATCAACGTGAAGACTGAAATGCCCATAGGTATGAAACACATGTCGCAGTTAACAATATCGCGGTAATTAACAAATATTCATTCCGCTGAGTGATATTCAGGCAAACACTGAAGGGGAGCGCATATGTCACAGTTGTCGTGTATTATTCTCGGATTTTCAGAACTCAATGGCGTATATCTGTCACCCCCTGTTACGAGAATCGTATAAACTATCGCTTGGCGAATTCTAAGAAATAGTACTCGAACGATTCTATGCGATAATCGCCCTGCAACTTGTTGGAGCGCTCACATTACGTGGCATAGTCCATTATTGATTTTCCTCGTGGAATAACCCCAACGAGGAAAGCATGCTTGTCCCGGCTTGTCGCGAGAGAAAAAAACTAGCGTGACATTGGTCAGAGCATTGCGAACAGAACTGTACAAATTTCGAATGCTTTTATATCCTTGGCAACTTTGGCCGACCGCACGCTTCGCTCTCACATGCCACTTCTGCTGCCACGATTTACATCGCACATGGATATATACATATATATGCGTTAGATAAGCTGTAAAACAGTTGTAAATTTATTCATGTATCGTCAGGTGAAGGGAAATTCCATGTATCTGAAGATTAGGACATGGGAACGTTACTTGAATTAAAATCATATCGCAGATACGTATATCAATTACGGATTGACACTGCCATCGAGGTCTGGCGTATCCTAGGAGACTGTAACAGACTTCTCAGTGTTGAATGCTGAAGAAAAGGTTGTTCGAGATTCTTGCCTGTCACATCTTTATATATTTTATCACAACGTATTACAAATCATTGAAAACTATGTGTTCTCGAGCTGTAAAGTAGATCAACTTTTACCGGAGCAAACGGAATAGCGCCAGGAAGGATAGTTTTCTCATTATTAATAGCAAGTCTCACTGTATATTAAAGCGAGAACAAGAACTTAAATGCAACGTTGACATTTATAGCAAAGCACGAAGAAAGGTGTAATCCAGTTTCAGTTGGTCGACTGCCAGAGACTGTTGCGATTCCTTTGATATAGTTTTAAGCACAAAAGGGAACAATGGCACCGACAGTACCCAAAAAGATGGCCTCCAAAGTGTCAGAAATAAGCAAAGAGGTACGTTCTCGGCGTTATGACATTAGGAAGAAAAAGAGGCAACTCGTTGTATTGAAGGAAACTAAAAGATGAAAATTTTGCAGCATATATCTTTAACAAAGAGTTATGTATCTCGACAAGATTTGGGTGCTGGTGACATGGACTGGATACGAGGAAAGATGTTGCTGAAACCGGAGGATCAACTGCAGTTAACGGACGCGGTACGTTTAACGTCTCTGTTATTTTTGTTGTTGGACTGTACTGTATCTGTAATTGTCATATCGCTGCAGGAACTGCAAGAGGAATTTGCCAGGGTGCTGAATATACATAATACTAGGGTACCAGACTCCTTAGTCGAGTGGTCATGGAAATTACGTCAATTTGTAAGATTACCTCCCCCGCCGCATTTGGTAACTCTTCTGGACGTAGCTGGCACTATACTACACAAAGACTCTGAAGAAGCCAAAGTGCAGTTAACAGGCGGGATAATTAGTAAGATTTCTTTATTTACTGCGACAATTAATATATGTAAAATAATTACGTGATCACCGTGTAGCTGACAGTCAAGAGGAGGTAACGGACGAGAAATTGAAGCTGGATAAAGCGGAAGAAGAGGCAGAATATAAAGAAGAGGAAGAAGGTAGGTATAGAAAATATTGATATATACGACTTGATAAATCGCATATGACATTCTCGTAATTTTTTAAAATAAAAATGTAAATAGCATATTTTCCACAAGAACAGTAGACGAAATAGATAAAACGGTGGAAGCGCTAGCTGAGGCTGAACGTGAGCAAGAACAGGAAGCAGAGCCAGAACCTGAGGAAGACGAGGTAGAAAAGGCAAAGCCCAAGAAGATACCTAATCAATTCAACTTCTGTGAGAGAGCAGCGTTGACGTATGATAATCCTATGAGGGCATGTATACTACATTTTTCTTCTACCAAACATATTCAAGTATTAGAAACTTTTGTTCGAGTACAGAAAATAAATTAAATACGCCTTGTAGGACATGAGTACGCAAACTATACCTCCGCCTACCGCAACTTTCAACGCCAGTGTCTTGCAATGGACTATCTTTGACGAGTATCAGGTACAAAAGTTCTCTTTTAGTTATTAATTAAATTATTTTATAAATAACTGCATAATTAATAAGGAAAGAGTATTATTTTTGTTTGAGAGACATATAAGCAACAAGATATTATACAAGTTTCAATCGTTTTATTCTTGCCGGCAGGAAGACTATGCTCAGCAACAACGCGAGAAGGAAAAGGAGAAAAAAGTACCGTTGACGCAACTAAAGAAAGAAGATGTGAAGAAAAAAGCCCAAATGGAATCTTCGGTGATGACAAACAGAATGATACAGGCCGCGAAAACGTTGGAGCGAATGGTGAACCAAAACATTTTCGACGATATATCGCAAGGTAGGCTTCTGATCCTTTCTTCGATGAAATCTCAATCTCTCAAGTATATATATGTCTTCAATTGTTATTAGATTATAGATATTGGGACGATCCGAGCGATGAATTCAAGGATGGCGAAGGTTCCCTATTACCTCTATGGAAATTTTGCTATGAAAAGACCAAGAAACATGACATCACAGACATGTGCTTCAACAGCAGATATTACGATCTCTTCGCAGTCGCCTTTGGATCACGTTAGTAGAAAATATGCGTACTGTAATTTTTATAATGTTCAAGTTGTAAACGAGAATCGTAATGCATATATTCTAGTGTCATTTAACAGTCTAATAACAAACGGCACGGTGTGCTTATTCAGCTTGAAGAATCCATCGTATCCAGAATGGATTTGTCCAACAGAGTCTCCCGTGATGTGCCTAGACTTTAACGCCCAGCATCCTCATCTTTTAGTTATTGGTATGAAATAGTACCATTCGAAATATTTAATCGCGTCATGTAGATTTATTTACAAGTTTTTCCTGAAAAAAGTCCCAATAAAATATTTGCATTGTAATATAGTTTCTGAAATGATTGTTACGTCATTTCTGTATATTAATATTAATTAATTAATGACACAAAGGTACCATGGACGGAGCAGTGGCGGTTTATAATATAATGTTACCACCATCCACGCCACAATATAAAAGCAACGACGTTGTGCAGAAGCATGGAGGGTTAGTATGGCAGGTCTGTTGAATCTTTCAACTCTAATACTTGGTAACGAAGCTGAAAGCTCCTATGAGATACTTGTAACAAAATTTTTCAAAAATATATACTAATTGCAGATTTGTTGGGCACCTGATACAGAGGAAGGAAACCTGACGTTCTTCAGCGTCAGTATCGACGGTAAAATAAACCACTGGGTGTTAAACCAAAACGATCTCGGCCTCACCACCGTCATGACATTATTCCTGGACCGACCGCCTATACCGGGACCAGATGGCACAATGATTACGCTGAAAGGTAACGACAAGCAAATAATGAAAGGAAACCAGAGATCGTCATACACGTGATGATTATGCAAACCGTTTGAATCCAGGATGTGGAACGTGCATCGCATTTCACCCCGCCGATCAGAATGTTTTCCTGGTGGGCACGGAAGAGGGTACCATGTACAAATGCAATACAGCGTACAGCAGCATTTACATGAGGACGTATCACGAAGCGCACACTATGCCGGTGTACCGAATAGTCTTCAACAAGTATAATTCCAGCATTTTTGCCAGCTGTTCGGGCGACTGGCGAATCAAGATCTGGGAAGATGAAAGACCGTAAGTTACATCTCCGTAAGTGCACAAGTCTTATTGCAGTAATACGTTGCACACAGGGAGCCGTTGTTCATGTTCGATTTGGGTGTTCCAATTGGGGATGTTCAATGGGCACCGTACAGCTCCACGGTGCTGGCCTGCGTCTCAAACGATGGCAAAGTCACAGTATTTGATTTGAATGTTAACAAGTACAGGCCAATCTGCAGTCAGCAGATTGTCAGTAAACGAAAGAGCAAACTGACCCGATTAGCTTTCAATAACACATTGCCGTTTATAATAGTCGGCGATGACAAGTGAGCAATATTATCTATTTAATTTAAAAAAAAACTTGTGCAGTTTTCAAAATGTATTTCATGTAATTTGTTGATTAAACGTTTAATTTTGCAGAGGCACCGTAAATACACTGAAATTGTCTCCAAATTTGCGGATAAAGGTGAAACCAACAAAGAAGCAAGTACACTTGTCGTATGAGGAATTAGAATCTTTGAAATTAGAAAAATTGCTCAGCTTTGTGCGAGAGCCTCCTGTATTGATTCCACCTAAAGACATACGAACAGTCACTTAAAATTGATTAAATAAGAAGGTAAATTTCAACTTTTCGTAAACAACAGTGCTTTATTAATATTTGCTATAACAGACGGATACATATATATATATATCTATATTTTTACAAATAAATTGGCACTATTATTATGCAATAGAGAGATCAAATAGTTCTACGAAGTAGCTTATGTACCTGAACTTTTATTGCCGAAACACATTGTTGTAACTAATAAAATAATTCAGCAACTCGCTGCTTAACACATTGATTTAAATTAAAAAATAAGTCAGATAATATTATATTATGTACACAATTTTTAAAAGGTAATGCAACAAATATAACTTTTATTTTTGAATGCTCTCTCCCGTTTTCTTTAAATTACAATATTTGATTGCACAACTCGAAGAATTAAATTGCTACTATACATATAAATATTTAGGGAATATTTTTCACATTTTATAATCCAAGATACATAGTTAAATGCCTCTATCTGAAATAAAATATTTTAAAAATATTATGAGATCAGATCTGTCTTTTTTAATATTTTTAATATTAAATTTTAAATCTCTAATACAATATACTCTAAGTACTATAGTATGCACTAATAAACAAGAGTAAATCTAGTAAAAAGTTAGTACATATAATGAAAATGTATTGAAAAATTTATCAACATCTATATCTGTAAATCGAGTTAAAAATACTAAGTTTATTTGGCACAATATATTAACAGGAGAATTTTCATGCAAGAAGGAAGTTAGTGACTTTTACTATTCCAAGCCGAGTTGTTGAAAGATATAAAGATAACATTTGATAACAATTATTTGTCATTATTTCTTACTAAAGTAGGGTCTGAATAAGGCAAATGGAAATGTTTACAAGTTCTCTCCTTAGGTGAAAGACAAATTGTAATTTTTATTTAAATATTAACGTCATGCATAGATAATTCCTAGTATCGTTAGATACATGCATAATGTTTCAGTATATCAATTCGATAGCGATAATCGCGGCTTAACCCTTGAAGCATTTCTGCGTGATATCAAGCAACAACACGCTACCGTGAGTAATCTCAATTAATTGGAAACGGACTAATCAAAGACAAATCTACCAGGTAACTCCGGATTCTCTATCACTCCCTTAAAATATTTAAGCTCTAGGAAGTCTCTAATATTATTTGGACATGGCACTTGTCTACCGGCGAACTCGATGCTCGACATCGGATGGAGAAAGTGCTCTGGGAAGTCCCGGTTCTTCAGGAACCACGCGTCCTTTGTCATGGATCCATTGCGCGTGTAGAACGGTAGCAGGTTCACATGCAAACGGTTGACCCTGGAGTACTGTACCTTGAAGAACTCGCCCTCCGTCGCCTTCTCCCAGATAAAACCGTCGTCGTCGACGACCGGCTTGTTCCTGGCCCTGACCAGCCACGGCGATCTCGCCAGATCATCGCGGTTCAATCCGATTTGTACCTCGTGATCCCACGGTAGAATATCGCCGTGTCTCATCGCGCCCAACAGCGACTGACCCTCTAACCAGAACCGTATGCCGACCTCCTCCAGTTTGTCGATAACGTGATGGGTGACTTTTCTCAATCCGGCCAGACAACAAGGCGGCGTGTATCGATGCTGATAGAGATACGACGGTACGCCGTTTATTACTGAGCCGAAACACCTCGCGGTTTCCCGCGAGCAGCCGTACCACTCCACAGAGCCGGAAGCCCTTGTGACTTTCTTTATCCCCAATTTCTCGAACATCAATCGCTCCCGCGCGCGATACAATTGCTGCACCTTGGACTGCGCCTGTTGATTTCTGTACAACGGCTTTCCCTCGTTGAACTGATAGTTTTTCAGTATATGTATCTAACAACACATATATTACAAAAATATTTTAAACATTTGTGCGATGGAACATTGATTTTAAGATCAATTTCAATCTTTTCCTGACACAGAAAAAGTATGAGAGGAATATTAATAATTCTTAAAAGAGCTGCACAATAAATAGAAAGTACTTACCAAAAGGTTTAAACACAAAAAATTTGAATATAAATTGATATGCTAATGATCACTGACACAAGAACACAAAACTGAAGAATAAAATATTCACAAATTAATCACAAAATACGTTCTCGTGTAAATATAACATCTGCATTTCATATTAAATTAAACAAACTCAATTAGATATAAAAAGCAGAACCACACAGAGACGGATCGATAAATTATTATACTTACAAGAGAAATAAAATGAAAAGGCGTAAAAGTAATGGTCTTAAATTAGGTAAACTGAGTGATATACCTTTGCGCCAATGGCTGTTGTCTGAATGTACAACGCGTCCGTGAAGGGCAGCAGGAACGGGTCCGACAGTTTTCTCAAAATTTTTGCCTCCAGCATAGTCACGTGTTTGCCCATTACGCTATCACATACTGTTCCCGTAATTCGCGCTATCCTCAAACTCCATTCCCTCACTTTTAAATCTAATTCAAGACAATGTAAGACTATCCTTCCCACTGGTACAATAACTATCCCTAAATTTGACACTTGCGAGACGGTCTCCTGCACACACACACACAGAAAAATAACGTAAGTAAAATCTTGACAAGATGCAAGACAAAGCGTTTTCTCATATTGCAACGAGGAACGTTTACCTGCATAACTTGCTTGGTCGACAATCTTGTTGCGTCAGGTAAGAAGAGGACAAACTTGGTGCGTATGTAGAAGAGAGGATTCCTCTCCTCGTAGGACTTGTTAAATTCGGGCCGTAAGCCGATCAGCTTGACGTTCCGCATACTCTCGTTGGCGAAGTCCAGCTCCAGCGGCGGGTACGGCAGCTCATCGCAGACTATCAAGACGGGTATCCCTGGGAAGGAGTTCAAGACCGACTCCACCATGGACGCCACGTCGTTTTCCAAGTTCTCGAACTGCCTGATGACGATGGTGACCAGGCGGGCCAGGCGCCGGTGGAGCTTCTGCGGGGGCTCGTTCGTCGCGACGCTCGGCGTCAGCAGGCCCAGGGTGTTCTGCGCCGCGAACAGCCGCCATATCCTGTGCCAGACGATGATGTTGCCTAAGAGCGCGAGAACCAGGGCCGCCCTGACGAATCTGAGGCGCATTATTGCGGCGCGCGACGCGGTCTCATCCTAGGCGCGAACCGCGCGTCTTCTCACAGCGTCCCGGCGCGCCGTCGAGCTCCGGCGTCGAGCGTTTCACGTGACCGAGATATCCTTGTCATGCTGGGAACGGCGGTCCCCTGACGACGGGCTCACGTGTGGCTCATCTCGCACGACCCGACGAGCTCTCGCGTCATCGCCAACGCTAACGAACGTTGCGTAAACAAAGCCTCATTGCCCGGCGGAGGCGAACGCCCACGAAGCGTTCGAGTTGGCCTTTGAGGTTAGGGTACGCTAGCTTTGGTTAGCCCACTCCGACTCTGCTATCCTCTTTTATCACGCAGGCTGTAATAATATAATATGTGTATCTGTACACATATTGATTGTAATAAAATTCCCTTTACGGATGCTATTTCTCGAAACTCACGCGCGACAACTGTGCAAATCGAAAGGAAAAAGATGTATGTGAATACAACAGTGAAAAAAAAATGCCACAATTAGTTGTATTAATTATCCGAAGACTCTCTTTGTGCTGAAATTGCAGCCTGACGTAACCGTACAGGCGCACGGATTCACGGACGAAAACGCATAATTGGTCTCGCACTGAAAATTAGAGCGTAATTGTGCTTGATTGAAAAAGGCCGATCCTTGACCTCCTCCAAACGCATTAGTCGACATTCGAAAACATACACGTATGGAGTTGTTAAGTGCTTTAAAATGATAAGATTAGAACGACCAGATTTTCTGATTAACTTAATTAAGGAAATTAGCTTATCGAATGAAATACATATTTTAGAAAGATCAGATTGAAGATCAAAATGCGATTATATCGTTGGCAATTTTGCCGTGAGTGATTCTGCCGGTTGAATTTATCAATGAAAAATTATTAATTAAGTCGATCCGTGATCTAATAACTTGAAAGATTATCGACATTTTTAACGACAATTGTTCGCCAACAATTTAAGATACGAAAATAAGTAAAGGAGAGATGTTTAAATGAAAAGAGACGAGAACTGATATTAGCTCTATTATTCTTTTTAGTCGAGTTTAGAATAATTACCGCGTCCTGCGTGCACGAAAATTATTCGAGGAACATGAGTGGAGAAAAAGTGACGCGAGTCGAGAGATTATTTCTCGAAAGCTTCGAAATCGTAGGAATTACGCGGGGAGCACGTGACGGCAGGAGGCCTCAGGAGATGGCGACGCTAAGACGTCGCCGTCTCCCGAGAGCTTCAAGGAATATCAAGAGGTAACAGGAATACATGTTGAGCAAAGAGGTGGTCGAAACTCTGCTGGTGGCTCTCCCCACCCCTCGTCCAATCAACGCGCCGTAGCAACGCGCTCCCTAGCAACGTAACCCCCCGCCGTCGCTAAGCGCGCGGATGGGTACGCAGGTGGGGAGACCCGCCCCACCTGCTCGGAGTTTACCGCTCGCTTCCTCGCAGATATACCTTCCTGATAGCGCTAACGCTTTCCGAAGATCCCAAGAGATGCGTATTCTAACCTCGCCGCCTCTTAACACCTCCTGTCGCGGCATGCTCCTCTAATAACTGTGACGATTTCTCGGAGCTCACGAGTCGACGCATTCCACGTCTCGCTACTCCCGTACGGATTACGCTCGCTCCAGTTAACTTCCCGTCGCCCATTTAATTATTATGGCGCGCAATTATTAATATTAATTGACAATTGAAAAAAATCAGTGTCGTCCCCGGTGGGCGGCCCATGAATCAATTTACACGCCGCTATTGTCGGATTGTACTCTCATCTTTTATCGCGCGCGGAAATCGTTATAAGCGGCCACCTTAAATTCAAAGCGCGAGAACTTCCTAGCGGCGACATTGCCCTGTGAAATTCCTAGCGGCGCACGGCTGGCAGGCCCGTTCTCTCTCTCTCTCTCTCTCTCTCTCGTCGACCCGTCATTTCGCGTTCAACGTCAAATCCCGGGCGCGCGACGGGTGCGTTTACGTGCTTCTGCTCGTCGGCGACAGAACCGCAGACCCACGGGCATGCCGCTGCACCGGTACACGCACGCGATCCTCTGCAGGATCCCGCTGTCGCTGCGCACGCGGGGCGAGGTCACGCTGGACGAGGCTAGGACGCAGCACCTGGCCCTGGCGCAGCTCCTCCGCGAGCTCGACATCGACGTCGTCGAGATGCCGCCCGACGAGAACTCGCCGCTCTGCGTCTTCGTCGAGGACATCGCCGTCGTCTGCAACGGCATCGCCCTGATCGCCCACCCGAGCGAGCCGTCCCGCCTCAAGGAGGTACTTTGTCGAGGGTACACAGTACGCGCTGTGGCTGATAGTTTGAGTTTGTGATGACAGGAGGAAATAATAGCCAATTCGGCAGCACTGAGTGCACACCAAGGCTTGTTCGGAATCTATACGTCGATTATTACATAGAGGAAGAAATATAATGCAAAAGCTCATTTATATTACTAAACTGAGATAATATTGATGACGATAATAATAAGGAATGACTGGATGTTTTAGAATTAAGTTAAGAACGTAGCTTCTTCAGTATTCGATTTTACTTACCGTTTTGCTTTTCTTTCAGCTCGACACCATCAGGGCTGTGCTGAAGAAAGAGCTAGAGATACCACTGATAGAAATAAGCGACAAGAATGCCCGCTTGGACGGTGGAGACGTGCTTTTCACTGGTAAATTCTGTTTTGCTCATTCAATATCTCCCTTGGTGTTACTTGTGCTTTTAAACGCGTGTAAAGAAACTTTTACACATACTAATGTAAAAATATCTCGCGTAGGTAGAGAATTCTTTGTTGGGCTGTCTCATTTTACGAATGAAGCAGGAGCACGAGCGGTTGCGGCGGCATTTCCAGAATATCCGTGTGTACCTATCAAGGTCGGTAATCTTGGTGATTAACGCATCTGTGTCTCATCTGACATTTAAGAATTATTAATAATCTCATTTTAAACATGAAACAAACACAAATTCCTCCTTATCTACTAAACATTGCATGTCTCATTAGATCCATTAGAGTCACAAAGACATGTATACATGTGTTATTTTATGTATAAAAATAACATTTTACCATCTTAAATGTGTGTGTCAAAATTGAAAGGAAAGATTTATAATCCTCTGTGTATCTACAAGTATTATCTACACCTTTTTGAAATTTGTCAAATATTGCTAATACCTTTTTTGTAATCTTTGAGTCCATTATTTCCGAAAGCATTTTATATCTTATATCTAACTACAGGATAGAGTGTTTCATTATTATTAGAAACCACTTTAGAGATTGATTTAATACAAAGATGCGCAATTGCTATATCTATCGTATAAATTTTTTATTCAACAAAATTTATAAGGCTCTGACGTGAAATGACAATTCGAAAGAATAAAGGATATAAGAGCCAAGACAGGATGTTAGTGTCTAAGTAATTTTAATTTTAAATTTATTGCAAAAAATTTACCTCAGCCAGGGTTCGAACCTGGACCTCCCTCTCACTTAGGCGGGCGTCAAAACATTTTTGTAACTGCTTTACAGTATTAAATTTATTCTATAAATAAGTCACATTTGAAATGAAGCACTCTATGTGTATCAATAATACTGACGCATGTTTCGATCCATGAGTAACAATGAAAATTTTGTGTTTATTCACAGCACATACATTGTGTATATTCATAGAAGGTATAATAATATATGCCTCGCGCGGATTTGCGTCAAACTTTGACGCAAGAATATCATACTCACTCACCTTATTTTTCTAATGTTCGTTTAAGGTGGGTGATGGTGGCGAAGAGGTGATAGTGGAGAGTCTTACCTCAGCCCCTCTTCAGGTTTGGGTGCACTAAACTGACCCTCTTAATATGTCATTAAAGAAAGAATAAAAAATTAAGAAACGAAAGAAAGTGAATAACTTCACAGGCTAGAAACGCAAACTTGCACGATTTTGAGAAACTTCTTTTCGTATGTAATAATTTCGGAATTTTATGAATCGCTTTGGAGTTGTGACAAGTTACACAAGTTCCGGCTTGGCACTCGAACCGTGCACTTGAACAATACCACGAATCTTATTCACTCACCTTAGCATGCATATGATTTAAGCATTTAACTGTAATATTTAAAAATATGTAAGGGTGCTCATTTTGTTCTAATCATTGTACAAATATGTATATTATGAATTTAGTGTGTGCACTTTTCAAATAATATATATATATATTTTACTGTACATTACACAAAACACTGTGCACAATTTACTGGCACATTAAGAATTATCAGGGAGCTTATAATAACGCATTAAGATCATATTATCATCGTATTGTAAGAAATATATATCAAATATTTTAAAAAGAAATTAAAACCATATAAATTTAAAAGAAAGTAAAAGAGATGTCTGATTAATAAACTAGTTTGTAATTTTTGACAAAATTTAATGCAATAATGATTCTTCAGTTTATTCATGTAATATGACAACGAATTAAGAACATGATACATGAAATAAATGATAAAAAGATTACACACTGATTATATAGTGATATTGTACTTGTTTAATTTCTCTCATAATTTTCGAGATAATAATTCAATATTTCTCTGCTTAGGTAGCTGAATCTAAACGCCTAAAATCGCTGGTTACAATGGCCGGTCCAGATGTTATATGTGTAGGAGCTGGAAAAGAATCTCAGGAAGTGCTCAAGGTTAGTTTCTTGATTAATATAAACTACTAAATACAAACTGTGAATCGTTTTATGAAGAATATTATTCCAAAATTTTTATTTGCAATAAATTTACTTTTATTCTAACTCGTTACATGAGAGATATTGCTTTTCATTCTTATCTTTTTGGGAATAAAATTTTTCTTGAATTTGATTTATATACAGGGTGATTC